CTGTGTCATGGGTGTATGACAGCAATCCCATTACTCCTTTGTCTATGCAGGGAGGTGTAGAATGAAATCTTTTTGTAGAACCAACGATACACCACAATAAAAGGTTGCTTTTACTGTACATCTTTTTAAATACTGCTTTGCACAGCACAGAAAGCATTACATGTAAAGAGCAGATTCCTTTTAACATTAAAAATCCTGTTTTGGAAGTGTGTTGATCTCTTGAATGTTGTATTATAGGGTATCAGCTTGTTGAGTGTCAATGTTGCTCAAATTGGTCAATTAGTTTGCTTTCTTGTGACGGTTTGACTAGACTCTTTATTTGTCTTCAGATTCTAGACAGTGTTATCATGTGAAGGGTTCTGATCCAACTTCCTGCTCCTTTTGATGAACTACAGTTTTTGATCTATGTTTTTTGATACTGTAGTATGATTACTGGGAGGAGCTGCTGGGATTAATTTGGAAGGTTGTCCGATGGCCAACCTGGTTTGAGCACAAGGTTCGGTTCGGTATCTGAAATGAAAATATATTTCATATTACAAACTATCAAACTTCATAATCATGTAAATTCCAAAGCAGAGAAAATATCAACACACATTTCCTATCCCAAAATGACAATATTTATAAAACCAATCTATTTCTGTTGCAATAAAGCACTCTTTATTCCAAAAAATTTGCTGCTGTATTGATGTATTGATGTAGTGCTGTATTATAAATAATGTTATGAAATTGACACATACAGGCAAGATGTTTTTTATATACTTTATCTAAACTGTCAATTTGAGTACAACTGAATTTAATTCAACATATCGACTTTGAGATGGTTTTGTTAACAAATGCTACTTACTGTATTTGTTAACTCTGCATATCACGTTTAACCATTTCTACGCTGCACAACCTGTACTTATTCGCTCATACATCGCGCTGAATCTTGTTGAGAAACTTGTCGACAGGACCAACATTAGTGCCCGTGTTTACCACCCATCTCTTGGCTAGTTGAATATCCATTGTTCACTTGACCCATGACCTCATGAGCCAGTCGTCCACTTCAGATGACCACTCAGGAAAATGGGGCGATTGGGCTGGCCAGCACCCCTTTGAGCTTTTGTACGTTTTCGGGGGCTAGTGAATTATTGACACATGGTATTGTGGTGGTATAATGATAAAAGGAAATATCTTGTGTTGCATTATATACAGTAGAAAAAGTATGTTTGTACGCTTTACTTATACACATTACTCATATTGTCAGTGTAGACTGCAGTATTGACAACAATGCACTACCAGCAGAAGCTATAGGCAGATGGCAGACATGCATGGAAAGCAAAACATTTCTAAAACAGCGCTGGTGTAGATTAGCTCTTAAAATTGAACAGTGGCTTTTAATCTCACTGTCACCAGCTGTTTCGCATTGTTTCCTATTGTAACAACACAGAAATGTTGCATAAGCTGTGGATTTGGGGAAATGTGAAACCCTAACATCCGATATGACATAGAAGGACTAGCAGTTCTGAACATTAAGTACAGTATTTTTTCATTTTCTTTTTTTTGTACTGAAAGATATAGAGATAATAAGGAGGGACAGATAACCTTGTCCTGCTCTCCTCTTGAGTCATCTCTCTATGTGACACTGTGGGCTTCACAGGATTAAGGGAGGTGTGAGTGGAGAGAGCCCTGTCCCTCGGGGTACCCAACGCCAGACACCCCTATAAGCACTCTGTTAATGATGTGCCGCCATGTGGGGAATCCTGTACTCAGCTCTGTAACTCACTCTGTAAGCCTCTTCTTCCTCTTTTCAAAAAGCACTGTAGACTGCTAAACAGTAACAAAACATCCTGATACTTATATATTTAATGTGTGACCTCTTTATGAGAGCAAAGGTATTGTTGTATTCTTCGCATTTTTGTTGTTAGTTTATTTTGCGGATTTCAATTTTATAGCTGTTATGTTGCCGTTACAATCTGAGTGAAGTTGCTTGCTTTGGGGTAAATTAGCCCCACCTAAGATTAGAACCTACAACCTTATATGTACAAGCCCAGAGCCTTAACCACTCTTCCACACTACTGCCCTAGTATGGTATACTGTATCATTAAAGGCTTCATCTCACAAGTCTCACGTACACTATGGTGTTTCACTTTTTTAGTTTGGAACAGCACATCAGACTTTCGGAGGTTATAACAAAAGCTATTGTTTGGGTTCTGATCTCACACATTCATTTAACAACATTTCAGGCAAAAGAAAATCCTTCAAGCTCTAGCGTTTAATGGGAGCTTATTACGGGAAAAAAAGGGTTTGGATGGAGTTGAAAGGAATTGGTGGGACATTTGAACGGCCTTTGAAAGTGAAGTAATGTATTCCATGTTTTCAAAACATATTGGCTATGTCTGTGTACAGTGAAGTACAGGGTGGGGTGAGATGACTTGATGCACAGTTTGGATGAAAAGGGTACAGTATTTGCTGGGCAGTCACTACTGCTATGCAGGTATTAAGAGTGGTGTCTCAGCATATAAACAATATTATTAAAATTGTATAATAATCAGTTCAGACAAAGGGGGCAGATTTGTGCTTTGCTTTTATTAATGTGTTATACATGTTAATACTGTAATATTGTATTGGGTCATATAGGAGAGGCAAAGCTCTCATAATTATCTCTGTTACACCTAAACAGTAGTTTAACTGCAGGCTCTATACCTAGGAAATATAGAATAACAACTATAGCGAATAGAGACATTGAAGCAGACTAGATAGTCTCTAGTCAGTCGTTGATGTATTAAGGAACAAGTAACAGGTTTATTCCCTGCTAAAAAGAGAAGAAATAAAACACAACGTTTCACCTGAAGAAGACTCCACCGCCGAAACGTTGCTGGCGCAGCTCCCACCTGAACGCATTGATATATTAAGTTCTGTTATAACAAAAAATGTAATACTGTACATGAATACTGTTAGATGTGTGCATCCTTTTGATAGAACAGTTATTTGCGGTATGTGGTTTGCTGTGCAGAAGCCAGCAGTAATGCGAGAAGCAAAATAACTTTCCTTTCTGACCATACAGGGGAAAAAAAACAATGAACATTGACTGTACATGTGGAGTGTGAACTCTTAAATGGCGTGGGGGTGCAATTGCTGCCTTGCAGCGCTGGGGCCCCGGGTTTAACTCGTGAGGTGCTGTCTGTGTGGAGTTTGTATGTTCTCCTTGCATTCGTTCGGGTTTCCTCCCACAGCCCAGAGACACACTGATTGGTTAATTGGCCTCTGGGAAAATGCACCCTGGGATGTGATGGACTTGCGTCCCATCCAGGGTGTATCCCGCCCTGTGCCTGTTGCTGGCCGGGGTAGAATCCGTTATTCCGGATAAAGCAGTTGAAAGATGGATGGATGTGGAACTGTAAAAGTGTACAGTACATCAGAGATATGCTTTGTCTGCATCGTAGCGATGCACGTGAGACTTGATTCCCTGAGAAGTACAAAATGATCGCAGCAGAGAAATTCACAGTTTTTGGTAGAGTGGAGCTGAACTTGCAGGGCAGCTTAAAGCACCAGTCAGCTCAACAGGTTTCGCAGAAAGGCTGGTCTGCTTGTGGTATTGGAAGGTGTCACAAATATTATTAGAATATTTCTTTTTTCTTAAAAAGAGAGCCCATTTGTTGTTCTGAGGACTTCCATTGCAGTTGTATTATTCATAGCCTGGGCGTGTTGATATCATGAAACCACTAAAAAAGCAGGGTGGGTTGTGTGTATGGACTAGTGCAAAGAAAAAAGTCAGTTGAGCCACTACACTAAAGAATCGTTCCACCAGGGCCAATTGACAGCAAAGTAATTTCTAAGATTAAACATTGTCCTGAGTTCATAAGATAAGCTCCCATTATATGAAAGAGTTTTATCTACTAAACCAGAAGAAATAATGGTAATGATTTTCAGAGATGTAACTTTCTCATCCACAGATGTTCTGAAATATCTTGAAACCAACTTGCTGCACTAAAAGAATTTCCCCATGAAACCTTATCCAGATAAAAGTATAAATCCCTGCAAAAGTTTGCTATCATTTTTCATTTCTACCAGCTTTTCAATCTCTTTATTCAATTTACTAAGAGCATAAGAACAGTTACTGACGAGAAGTGACCATTTGGCCCATTTGGTTTTACTAATTAAAACCAGCTGTAACTTACTGTACTAGAACAAAGTCAAGTGCCTTTTACTCTGACTCTGAGTCTGATTTTCTGAATCTGCAGACCACTGTGGTGCTTGTCAGATCATGTTTTTTATCCTCCGAGGAACAATTGCATTAGATAATTGTGTTTGAGTCTATGGGTAATCAAGCTGGGGGGGAAAGTCAGTGTTTCATTGGGGAATTACTTGACTTGTTGGCTTAATTAAGGCTGTTTCAGAAATAGTCCAGCCTTTCTTGCCTATTCATATAATGATCTTCAGATTGGAATGAGTTATTTTGCAGTAGAAGTGACAACTAGTGAGTATGTTGCACATGCCTGTATATGCCAAGCTCAGAATATGGCATAACCGCTGCCATTAAAGAAGGTGGCATTTTTTTCCTTCTTCACAAACATATGGAAGGATGTTGGATATTTTGCCTGTAATGCCTTCCAGCATAATGGGATCCTGTTGCTGTTTCCATAACATTAGTTTTTTACGGGACAGGGTTGTTAGCCCAACTTCCAACATGGAGGACCTGATGCCCGACGTGGGACACGAACCCACTACCCTGAGATGATGAGTCTCGGGCTCTACCAACACTCAGGGCCCTGTCACAAACACGTGCTTCTAGTTCAATCAGAAATGTTAATTGTAGCTACAGTCTTTTGTCTTTTGCTGTGAAAGTGAAATACTCAGTGACAGTAAATACTGCATGGCACTCTTTTGTAAACAAACGGCAGGTTTTAATCACTTCTTGCTGACACCGCAGAGAAACAGGTTTTACTTCTACATCGGCCAGGTCATAGCGTGCTGCTGTTGTCCCTCCCGGATCCATTGTTGCTGCTCTCCCTTGGCAGACAAGCCAGGACTGAGCTCCCTGGACGTCAGCCTGAATGACACCATCGATGTGGCTCCCAGTAGGAAACGACGGCAGCGCCACGTCAGAGGTCAGGAGTCAGACGCCAAGAAAGGATCGAAGGAGGGTCAGGAGAAAGGACGGTAAGATCAGAGTTTTTCCGAGCTGATTTGCCATTTTGCTTCTTTTTTGTCCTTTTTTCCCCCACATATAATCCTCTCGGATCGTGTGTATAAATGTGTGGATAAGGACATGGCTTGCTTTGTTAAGGCATGGCACCATACCGTCATCTTCATCATGTTAGTTATTGATCTAAAGAATTCATTTTTTAAACATCAGTGATTAAACTTGATTGTATTTATCCATGTCTGCATATCATGCCATGAGCCAATTAGATGAGTGTATTTTGATTGATCACCTTATAAATATCAAAGCTACGGCCTATGCAGGAGAGTGAAACATGGTATACAAACATAATCACTGTGCACCACATCAATCAAGCCTAAATGACAAATGTGCCAGAATTCATCCTTTAAGCATCCTATTGTCTGAACACTAGGTGATTGAGTTCAGAAGGGGAATTAAATGCAAAATCTCACACATCTGAGGATGTTTAATGAACAGAACCTCATTTTTTGTAATTCTGATGTTTTCCATATGTGCCTTAGTTGAGTTTTAAAATGTCAAAACTATTATATAAATAGTAATAAATGAAACTGGGGGAGGCTATGCCTCCCGTGTGTCTTTAGATGCTCACAGTGGTCTTCTATTTCAAAGTTTCTTACTGTAACTCAGATTGCAATTATGTGCTTTCCCATTTTTCCCTGATGTTAACAATTAGCACACTCTGCGAGACTGTAGATTTCGCTGCACTTTATAACTGCATTCTTCCTGTCAGTGTCATGAAACGCTGATGTCAAAACTGAGTTGGTTTGACAGCTCAGTGTTTTGTACTGTACTGTACTGTAAGTTCGAGGCATGATCTCAAGTAGTTGTATGGAAACAGCAGAATGACTGATGTGGCCCCTAGAAGTGGAAGAACCCAAGAAATCTGAGAAGTGAGAGCTGGCCCCCTGGCCTCCTTACTTTGGATTACAGTATGTAGTTATGAGCACCTTATTGATCAGAGGAAGTGTTTTCCATAGGAATGTTGGTTGAATAGAATCAGGAACTGTGTTTTGTGATAGTCTCAGAGCTCTTCATGCAAAGAAAGCTCCGATTGTCCGACACAGCTTGCAGAATTTAGCACATGCTTTTGCCAGAAACGCGACATGGTCAGAGGCCCGGTGATGGGCCATGCATTCCGAAGCTCACAGCTTACAGCCCTTGTGGCGGATGGAGGACGGTGAAGGTGATCCTGTTCAGGGGGACACAGAGAAACCAGTATCGGAGCCAGAGCTCAAGCCCCCTTTGTCCTGTGATTTCTAAATTAAAGACAGACCTTCTGTCTTATAAACTGTTGCCTCAAGCTTGTCACCTTGTGAGGCCTTTAGGAAAGTCTGCTTATACTTTTCGTTTGGTTGATAAAGCCGACAAACCCAGTTGGTTTTTTTTCCTTTGTCGCTAATTGTACGTTGCGTTTGGGAAATTTGGACAAGAGAAGATCGGGAAAATCAATTAAAAAGGAATCTCAGTCACCAGTTTCTCAGACCGGTTATTAAATCCAGGTAACAAAATTAATTAATGGACGGTATCGCGGAATTTTACAAATTTCGAATTCAGTGCAAAATCTTGGAACTTTGTGAAAGTACTGTATGGTCGTCACGTTGTTGCAATCCACTGGTCTGGCCACGGGCGGGAGCGAGCGTTTGTGCTAAGTGGCCCTCTGCTGCTCACTAGTCTCTGAAAGCAAATGAGAAACATGGTCTCCTAGCTGCATTAATTATGATGAGTGGATTTTGGTTGGTTGGCAAGTTGCTCTTTTTTGCAATAATTTATTGTATCTAAAAAATGTCAGCTTCTATCTGTCGGTTTCATGAAAATATTTACTGTTATGTAGTAGCAAAATGTAATTGGTCTAAAGCACCTTTACATTGTAATTTGGCCACTTTTACGTCATTGTAAGTTTTGTTGCCTCAATCTGAATCGCAGACAATGAAAACAATATGATGCTACGAATGTTTTACATCCTCTCATTTCTAGTGTAAATTGGAGGTTTGTAAAAGTTACCATGTACTTGTGGTTTGAAATACACTCATCATTGCCAGTTTATTATAACTCCAAAACCCAGTTGCCTTTTAAAGGTCTGGTGCATTTTCTCCACCAGTGATGCTAATAGAAACAGGCAAGTTTTGGCACAGACGAAATGGGCAAACACATGCAACGTATCACTGTCCGGCAGCAACAGAAATCAAATGACTCAAAATGGAGTAAATTATCCCAGGATGGAGCCCGGATTCAGAATGAAAACCACGTGCTGGTTTGCTCAGTGAATGTGAAAGATAAAAGGACAGTCCAACAAGACGTGTATCATTAATCAGAGTCTGTGTTTTTTAGTCACAATCTGTCACCGAGACTCTGAATCACTTCCTCTCTTCTAATCAGAAACACAGAGACGTCAGCTCAAAGCCTGCTATGGCTGGCACCCAGGGCTCCCTCAGACTCCTAGGAATGAAGGGCCCCCTACAGACTGCAGTTGTCGGGTAGCTGAACATTTACACCAACAGATTATTCAATTGTAAAGGATCACTGATGTCCACAGCTTGTTAATGCAGTAGTCACTGTTCTAGTCATGGAGAAGTGTAAAAGGAATGGAGATATTTCTTGTTTATTTGAAAAAGTGCTAAGGTTAACTTGAACTTGACTACTGTTGGGATGAATTTAAGATAAGATAAGATCACTTTATTGGCCATATACAATTTCTTGTATGAGGAATTTGTCTTTTCGCATACCCCAGCTTGCTCTCCATGAGACACACAGACAGGGTGTGAAGCTTGGGGTCAGAGCGCAGGGTCAGCCGCTTATACGGCGCCCCTGGAGCAGTTGGGGTTAAGGGTCTTGCTCAGGGGCCCAGTGGAGTAGGATTCCTTTGCTGGCCACGGGATACAAACCGGCAACCTTCCAGCCACAGGTGCAGATCCTTAGCCACAATGCCATCGCACAGCCCCAGCTGCTCCAGAGATATGTGATATTTTCTTTCTGAAGTAAGGTAGTCATTACCTACTATATAGTTGTAATAAATGTATTGTACTACAGGTCAAGGGGTCAAGAGGGGCTAATTTGTTGAAGGGGTTGTTTTGCACACTGTATTACACATTGTGTGTGAGCATACAGTGCAATGGGTGTACTTTATCATTCTTGTTTTGCTCAGATGTGCTCATTTGGTTGACTTTGTATTCAGTTTATGAGTGACAAACTGCAGTAGAAAAACCTCAACTACCCTGAAATCTGGATTGGCACTTGTGTCAGGTCTTGTTGTTTAGGGCAGGGGTGGGCAGTCATGGCTCTTCTATTAGTTAGCCATCAGAAGTCTTTGTTCCAGCTGATGTGCTGAACTGTCAATTAGACAATTAAGATAAATTAATTAATGAAAATGGGAAAGGGATCAAAGAGGTTCAAGCAGGGAGCTGCATCAGCATATGTAGGCTGCAAAGGAACAGGTAAAGGTTTATTACATGCTGAAAAGAAAGGGTTACAGATTTTTTCTTTTCAGCATGGAATAACCTGTTATTCCTTTACTTGTTCCAAAGCGATGGAAACAGCATAATGACTGAAAAATGACTGGGGTTGCTTAGCTCTTGGGGTTCAATGAACAGAAATGTGCAAAGGCTATGAAGAGGAGTGCAGTGAAGCAGTGACATCTTGAATGGGTGTAGGGTGAAGAGTGAGCCATTTTCACCCATTATGCTGTAGAAGTATCCATCCTGGCACAAAACCCACATACTGTATCTCTGCCTTTCTCTCAACTCATCTCGCACTGGCACTGAGGTCCCACAGTAGGGCTCAGTATTGATTTTTGAGTCCCACAACGTTTAATAAGCTTTACTATACAACTGTGTGTGTGTGCCTTCTAATTCTGACTTTAAGTGTGTACTAAAAGGTGGAATGAGAAGTCTGAAGACAATTCCGTCTCTTATATTCTTGTGATTTGATGAGTGTTAATTAATATTCATACCGACAATTCATTGTGACTGCATGTTCGGTCGGCATCACTCTCTATGACTATTCTCTTTTTTATATTTTCCTTTTTATCAGAGGTTAGGGTTTTCACATAACTTTTGAATCTGAGGTTACTTGAGGTTTTCACATGAACGTTATGCTTTCTGGTAGACAGTCACAGCATTCTGTAGATCACTTTCCCATGGCAAGCTCCCCGGTCATGAGTGGAAAAGAAAGTACTTCTGTCGCTTGGCTTTTGGAATTTTTAAAGCCATGCTTATGAGTGGAAAAACTTTGTCAGCCCAGTGGTGTCCTCAGATGCCCCGAACAGCATTTTTAAAAAACATTATAAAAAACTCTAAAAAGAATAGATTTCTAATTAACATGTCGTGAAACTCCCACTAATTGGCGATTTCAAAATCATGAAAGTGAAGACTTACCAAGGAAAACAGCGTTACTTTTTCCAACAAATGTATTTTTCATACACTGTGAGAGAGTTGAGAGCTCCACACATTTCAATGGTAATAATATAATTTATAATTAAACAGTGTGAAGTTTTCATCTGACAGAAAATACTGTAGCAATAACTGAAGACTTGACAAGATACAGTATGAACGCATTTATGGCCGCGGTTTTGTAGTTCCTTTCCTTCCTTTGAATCGTAAAGAGGTTTGTTATGATTAAAAAACACTGACGGGATGATTATTTACATTTTCATTCTCAAAATATAAACATACAAATATTGATGTTACTGTGCGTGTGATAGAACCGTTTGGGTGACAATGCTGGTTTTTAAAATCATAGTTGTAATCACCGTTTTTTCCTACTAATTTTGAACAGGTAAAATGACCGTCTTCCCCCAACAAGACATAAACTATAACACACTTAAGCACAAGCTTCAGTAGATCCCATTTTAAACAACAACTATAGAAAAGGGTTTAATACCAAAAGGAGCTTAGCAGCCATCAATAGTGTTCAGTCATCAGATATTATAAACACAATCTAAGCTGTCAAATATTATTTCCATCTCTTATCATTAGTGTGA